CCCCAAAACCCCAAAACCCCAAAACCCCAAAACCCCAGGAAATAATTTGTTATTGGGTTATAAAATTTTGCATAAATATGGAGAAAAGGGGATATAGTACCTCTGGATATCTCTCATCAGACACTGAGACTAAGCTTCGTGCCCCAATGAGTAAAATTCCTTTCCTCAATTGATCCCATCGATGATTAGAGATAATATTTTTAGGAGCAAAGAAAGCAAACTCATCAAAAATGATAAATTCTAAATACAAAATGGTAAGGAATGTATTCTTATAAAATCAACGGTTATTAAGATCTTACCAAACATTTTCTAATTTCTCAGACTCTCTTCATGCTTCCAAACCTGGCATCTTCTGATTTCATTGAATTCTCAGTGAAATTTAGAACCATTTATTTTGAAATTTCTGTTAGAACTTCTGCATCGATAGCGTCAAAAATTATAGAAAGTCAGTCAAGATAATGTCTCAAAGATTCCAAATATCAGCCAGGTAATCAAACCAGAGGGATTAACTCAAATTTAGGGATCTAAAATAAATATCAACAAAGACACATTAGTCAAAGTGCATAAACTTGATCTATCAAAGTAAGACAATTCATTAATTTTAGACTAGCGGATGACCCAAGAGGAAGCTTATCCGAGAATGAACAGATTGAAACAGTAATTCTAGTCTTAGATTTACCCTCTCACCTTGCTTCGTATTTAGAAATACCAGAAACCAAAGAAATCACAAAGGCTGTTCCATTCATCACTTTTGCAAAGGAAAAGAGATCAGAGCAAAAGACAAAAATCTGGGCCAAGACAATCAGGTATTAGAACCAGATATTTTATACATAAATCAATCAGTCTTCTTGTAAAGACTTCTTAGACAATGTTTGGAATAACTTTGCCTTCTCAATACCTTGATGGTGGTGGAACTCCTAACAGTTATTTTATAGAGATATCAATCAAATCCTTAAGAGATGAGAGGAACAAGAGTAAAGTTTTGATAAAACTTTAGAATAAAACCAGCAGTAAGCACATTATGAAATCAGGCCCTCAGGTAAACAAGAATCCTGAGAAATCTAAATATGGTATATTAAAAATAATATTCTGCAGAAACACAGCCTAGACAGAGCAGTTTAGTCAATAAAGGTTCTCTCAGCAAGGTAAGAAGCAATTACTAAATATTTAGTTAGGAAGAAATGCTAAAGAGAAAGATGAGGAAACTACTAAGAAACAAGAGATTCGGCTCAATCTTTCGTCATTGGATAGAACATTAGCTCATGTTCATAATCAGATTAGAAAGAAGTCTCTTAAAGGAGGAACAAGGCTAAGCCAAAATTTCAACTCACCTCATGAACCAGCAAGGTATAATCTGATGCTAATTCTGTAGTGCTTGCTCTAAAGATGAAAATAACACACAATCAATGATTCATGTAAGTAATTTTCTAAATCTTGAAGTCTAGTAGAAGAAGCTTCAGCCCTCCTCAATTTAATTTTGCAGTATTAAAATCTATCGATGCTCCTGTATCGAGATCGCTGTACCAAAAAGTATCACATGGAGCTAGCTCTATTGTGTGCTCTAAAGCGAAGCTTCTTCCAAATGACAGCCAAAACTCTGTGAATACCACTAAAGATCAACCGAAAGTAATATTTCCCCTTAAATCTAGGCTCTTGAGAGATATTTCAAGCACAACCCTAACAATTTCAGTCAAAAGGAAGGCCAAGCTATTAAGAGTAAGAATAGTATTAATAATTCTAGATCTCAGCCAAGTTAATAAATCCAAGGCAAAGAGAGGTTCCAAGCTACAGAGTACCCCTACTGCTCTAATTTTAGGCAAATATAATACAAATCCAGTGGAAAATGCCCAACCCGCTCCTGTGAGTAAGAACAAAGTAGGGATTTGCATCATGCTTTAGAAGCAAATGTTCAAAGTTTCAAAACAGAAGTACCTTAATAAGTGTATCAGAAGTAGACTTCGCCCAAAGACGAAGTATGATAAAAAGAACTCTCAACCCCATGAAGAAGTTATAGACTGTTATAATGGGAAAGAGATGAGCACTAAGTATTCAAAAACAAAATTGGTCAGGACTAACAAAGCTCAACGAAATCTGAACCATTCTAAAGAGTTTGGCCATAACGAAGGATCCGTTGGGAATATCCTATCTCCTATTAGAACTAGTGCTGTAAAATATACTCAAGATAGCAGTGTTGAGAGCTTAAATACTGGTGTTAAGAATGTAGGATTATTCCATTACTTCTAGCGATCTCAAACTTTAAACCAGAGCAACATCCCTGTCCGGAGTTATAAACTTGATGAGAAAGCAAAGCGTGGAGGTCATAATTTGAGAAATAGTGGAAGCTTGGAAATTGCTTCTCCTTCTTGCCAAAAGATTTCTAATGTTGCTGAGAGATACAGGACTAACTCAAAGCAGTAATTTTATTAATAAATTTAGGAGCAATTCGAAGCCTATTCTGAGTGCGAAGAAAAAGTGATATAATAATGTCAAAGTAGACCTTTTTGATAAAAAAATTTCTAAGACTGACAGAAAAATGAATTTTCTAAGCAAAAGTACTGAATTTTCTGGAAGGATTATGACCAAAAATTTTGATAGCCAGCTTCCAATAGATCTTTCTCAGAATCTAAACTTGTTAGAAGAGTATATCGATGCAAGTGAAAATTCGCCGTTCAGGACCTGGAATAAATTCCAACTCGCCACAAACTCTCCAAAGAAAGATCTTCAAACCAATCCAAACCTCCATACCAGCATTTCCGACCGCAAATTGTTTACTAAAAATATCCGCTATTCAATCCCTACTATCCCAAATTCACATCTGCAAAAACCCCAAATAACTCCTCTCAGCTCTAAACACACTGCTCATCTCAGCCCTGAGCCTGGCCAAAACAGTCTCTCCAAAGTACCTCTCTCTAACCCATAGGCTCTGATCTCTCCTGGCATGACTCCTTCACTCCAATCCTTCCCTTTAACTCATCAAAACTCTACCAAAATCCCAAAACTACGCACACAGAAATATCCCAAGACTAGAAGAAAGTAAAAATTAGCTGTTTTTATCAATTTTTTCAAAAGTTTCAATTTCGAAAATTTAGGTAGGGGTTTTGGGGTTTTGGGGTTTTGGGGTTTTGGGG